CTCTTCATGTGGTTTTATTCTCTCTAGGCCCTACACACAATTCCTTATGACATAATGTAAGACTGGGCTCTCCTAAAAAGGACCTCTCTTAAACAAGAGATTTGTGCTTTGGAGATGGATTCAAGGATCTCACAAATATATAATGACTAACCAAAACTGCAAATATGGACTCTTTAGGAAAGCAACAAATTTTAACATCTTACCCTTAATACATTTGCAGTCAAATTCAGAAAAAAAATTGGGGGCAATGAACAAGACAAAGCAGTAGATGAAGTCCAAATGAGTGGTATTCATTTGTTAATTCAGTAGACATTCACTGAGCATCTATTTTTAGACTATGTACTGTGCCAGATGCTGAAGATACAGAGCATGGTTGAAGAGACAGACAAGCAAGGAAGGCTTCCTCTCAGAAGTAATGACTTCCAGAGGAGATGATGTGGGGGCCTTGATGATTCAACAAGTAAAATCTGGAAAGAGGGCAGGGCAACCTCATGGGTGTGTCTTGGAAGGAAGAGAAAGAAAAGGATAGCCTGCCTGTAAGAGCAGAGAGAACAACAGCTGCCCAGACACCCAGCCGCCTGTCCAACCTTAAGAATGACTCCTGTCACTGGGATCCCCTTTAGGCCATAGTCAAAGCTTATGCAGCCATCATTAATTTAAGAAGAGATTAGCTACTGCTCAACAACTTTCCTGCCAAATTCAGGTGTCATGCCCCTTGGGAGGCCTATGCTATAACTGGTTAATTGCATGTGTGAGTATGTGTTCCACTCTCATATCATTTCCTGCCAAAGAAAAGAAAATGGCACCATGGAGCATTCTAATGTGGGATGTTGACGAATGCATTGGACGCTGCACCATTTACCTCCAAAAGACACCAAGTCCTTGCCCTGGGATGAGCTCTAGGACATTTGGCAACTAAATATAATTGTTATCTAATATAAATCCAATTATTTGAAAATATAGGATGTTAAGAAAATGATTCATGCTGCCAACCTAAATAACAAACACAGAGAGACAGGCTTTCAAAAAAATGATTTTTTTAGAATAGAACATTGCAATGGAAATATGTGTACCGTAGTAAACTACATGCATATTCGGGGAGACAAAGGAAAACAAAGATTGGTAAAGAAAAAATGAGGATGATTTCATAATTGTTTTAAGATACTTATCCTTGGTTACAAGGATCAATAGCAAGTTTGATGCCAGTCCAAGTTTGTACAGGCAGTTGCTGGGCAGATTTTCTTGCAGATGTATTTTCTTTTTTTGTAAGATTGCAATGACTTTTGTCCCAGATTGCTGTTTCTACAGAATCTTTTGTGATAGTTTTTGTTATTGGGCATTAATGCATGAAAACTCTCCTTTTTTTATTTTTTTGAGACAGGTTCTGGCTTTGTCATCCAGGTTTGAGTGTAGTGGTGCGTTCTCAGCTCACTGCAACCTCTGTTTCCTGGGCTCAAGTGATCCTCCCACCTCAGCCTCCTGAGTAGCTGGGACTACAGGTCTGTGCCACTACTCCTGGCTAATTTTTTGTAGAGACAGAGTTTTGCTATGTTTCCTAGGCTGGTCTCAAACTCCTGAGCTCAAGTAATCTGCCTGCCTTGGCCTCCCAAAGTGCTGAGATTACAGGTGTGAGCTGCCGTGCCCAGCAAAACACTCTCTTCATTGCTTTCTCTAGCTCTATTTGTCAAATTTTGTTTTTGTTTTTTTAAAAACATATGTGATTCCATTTTGATTCTGACAAGTTTCATATTTTCCCCATTTGATCACAATCTTTCTCCAAAGCGTCACTATTAAGTCATCCTGTAGTGAGGTTTCGATATTCCTTGGTGCTGGGATAAGCCTTTCCTGGGTTGCTGGTCTGGTCCCACATTGGAGAAAGTGAATGGCAGCAAGAAGTCAGTGTTAAAACTCTTTTGGCCACAATGTGAGCAACAAGAGAGGTTTGAAGGGAGTGGCTCTCAGGCTGATTATGCCTGGAGTCCACTGTTAAGTTCATTTTTGTATTTCATAGGCATTTGTTATCATCTCAAGGTGCTGATCCAGCATTATTCTGTCAGAATAAGAATTGCACTTCTGCAAAATTTAGCAAGTAATGGATGCAAAGTTTAAAAAGAAAAATACAAAGTAAAATTAATAGCAGTATGACAACACCAGTTTGCATATGGCTTTGAGCCATGAACCTAAACTTAAAGGCAACCAATTGAATGAATCAAATGACCATCATCCTGTCAAATGAAAAAGGTGGACATTAAAAGAGTAAGAGTCTCATGACAATATAGAGTCTTATTCTGATATCTTGGGAAAAGCTTTTAACAATATGAAAAAGACAACTTTTCAGCCAGGCGCAGTGGCTCATGCTTGAGCCAAAGTGCTGGGAGGCTGAGGCAGGCGGATCACTTGAGGTCAGGAGTTTGAGACCAGCCTGGCCAACATGGTGAAATCTCATATCTACTAAAAATACAAAAATTAGCCAAGTATGGTAGTGCATGACTGTAATCCCAGGTACTCAGGAGGCTGAGGCAGGAGAATCATTTGAACCCAGGAAGCAGAGGTTGCAGTGAGCCAAGATCATGCCACTGCACTCCAGCCTGGGCAACAGAGCAAGACTCCAACTCAGAAAAAAAAAAAAAAGAAAAGAAAAGAGAAAGCCAACTTATCCTCATTTGCAGTTACTCTTTTCAGTAATTTCATGAAAGAAGGTTGGATTGGAGGAATCCAGACAAATTCAGGATCTAGTGTAGTCTATAGGCAGATAGCAAGAGCTTGAAAAAGCACAGAGCTACAATCCAATAGCAGATGTTTTAGCTCTTTGTTGGAAACATAACCTTTTCTCTCCAAATAGATTACATAGGAATCTCAGATTTAAAAACCTCTTCACGTTAGAAAGCCAAACCAAGGAGATTTTAGATTTTACTAAAATCTAAATTAAAATCTAAATCTAAGATTTAAACTGTTAGGGTTCCTGAGTCTTCTAGGAAGCGATTATTTTTATCTACTTATGGTAAGGCTGGAAACCAGAATGCCTGGGAAGCCAGGCATTCTATGCACATTCTCAAAATGACATTTCTGTCAAAGCTTTGTCAATAAATGTTTCCAATTGTATCCTGCTGTAAAGAGAGAGCAGATTTTCACTGGATGTATGCAAATAACCACATTGCCATAGGAATACTTACAAATAGTTTCCAAATTTTGGAGGAATCAAGTGGAGAGAAAAAGCAAATGCATCTATCTTTGTTCACAAAAGTATACTTTACCAAGTTGCTATAAGCTATAGATAGCTTGAGAGAGAAAGTTTTTTTAAATCTGAAAAATAAAACATTTAAATAAAGGATCAAAAATGCTTTAAATAAAGACCACAAAAGTATTATCTTTATCAGTTATTCAGTCTCACATAATTAATTTTTGTTTTGCTTTATCTTGATTAGTAATTTCATGAACTCATCAGTTTCTTTACTAGAGTTTTGGAAAATTTTTATCTAGTCCATTAATCTTAATGCTATTAAAAACCTATGTTTAAGAGTACTCCTAGAGTCTTTTCTATGAAAAGTAATTTTGGAGTGTAGCTCATTGCAGGTGCTTTTAGAGAAAAATCAAAACAATAACTGGATGACCAAAACTTAAACTAGTCATGATTAAATATCTGACTGAAAGTTCATTATAGCAGTTGACTCTCCAAGATGGCTGAATAGACACAACTCTGGCACACAACACCCAGTGAGAGAGACACAGAAATCCAGAGATCTCCTAGCTCCAGCTGAGGTACCAGATGCATTTCAATGGGTCTGGTCTGAGGGTGAGCAAAGCCCAGACAGGGCAGACCAAGGTGGAAGGAGTGCTGCTTCACCCAGAAAGTGCATCTGACTGGTGAGTTGGAGGCTCCCCCTCTGGCACTCTGATCCAGATACAGCACTTCCCTCAAAGCCTCAGCAATACACAGAACAAGGGATCTTTGCCAGTCAAGCGCCAGGAATTACAAGTGCGGAGTTGAACAATAATCCAGGACCGTGTCCCGGATTGGCACACAGACCTAAACAGATGCACAAGCCAAAAAGCCAGCCGGGAGAGCCTGCGGACCGAGCTATCGGGGTCCACTCCCCCTGCCCAGAGAGAGTGGGAGCTGTAAGTGGACAGACGGAGCAGCTGGGTGAGCCCCTACCCTATGACCAGAGAGAGAGGAAGCTGAAAGGGGGAGATGGTTGGATGTGGCTGGGCAGGTCCCTACCTTCCCCCACAAACCCCAGAGGGCTGAAGCTCTGACTCTACAGGGTTGTGCAGGCAGTGCCACAGTCTGAGCTGAACCCCAAATGACCCAGCCCACTGGAAGAAGGACACAACTCACTATTAGAGGAGTGGGACTAGGCTACATGTTTTAACAAAAAACACAGGAAGCCTGGGTAGCAATGGGACTGCGTTCTTGACCATCCAGCAGCGCCTCCAGGTCAGCGGAAGAGGCAGGCCTAAACCCCCAGTGTAAACAAAAAAGACACAGGAAGCTTGCCTACTAACCTGAAGGAGTCCCTAGAAACCCAGTAGCGCCTCCATAGGCAGACAAGCGATCTTATCAAGCAGCTCCCTGAGACCACAGCCAGGTAAATCCACGAAGATGGGAAAAAAAACAGCACAAAAAAAGATGAAACCATCAAAAACCAGAACACCTCTTCTTCAAGGAATCACAACTCCTCAACAACATGGGAACACGACATGACCGAGAAAGAGTGCGACAAATTGATAGAAACAGGCTTCAGAAGCTGGATAATAACAAACTTTTCTGAGCTAAAGGAACATGTTCTAACTCAATGCAAAGAAACCAAAAACCTTGAAAAAAGATTAGACGAAATGCTGACTAGAATAACCAGCTTAGAGAAGAACATAAACGACTTGATGGAGTTGAAAAACACAGCACGAGAACTACATGAAGCAAACACAAGTTTTAGTAGCCGAATCCATCAAGCAGAAGAAAGGATATCAGAGACTGAAGATCAACTCAATGAAATAAGAAGAGAAGGCAAGACAAGAGAAAAAAGAGTGAAAAGAAATGAACAAAGCCTCATCAATGTCAGCTTTATTCATCCCATTTCATCATTTAAATATCTCCACTCTCCTGGGACATTTCCCTTGACTCTTTCATTTGTCTTTTCTCAGTTTCTTGTGAATCACCCTAATTTTCTCAGCATTTGTAAAGCCCATAAAGGTAAACTAAGGTTACAAATTTGATGAAGTTTCTCTTACTGTTGTTTGATTTTATAGCAGTAAGATTATATGGGGTCCCATGCAAAAGTGTTCCCCTTCAATCTTGGTATTTACTATGACCTGGGTAAGGGCTATATTTAGTGGATAAATAACCTGATCATTATAATGCTAATCCAACATGGCTTGCATATGACGTATATCACTCCTTTATTTGGAAAATTCCATTTGGCATTGTTTTGGATGAAAACAATCCCCCTTCTCAATGTAAACACATTTTGCAGTAGCTTTTATTCAGTCTACCAGGGTACCTATACCTGCTATGTGTCTGGATGATACACAGCTATCTACAGTGTTCAAAAGAGAGCTATGGATTTTACAGCAACTCAAACATGTTCTTCTAATCTGCAGTTTTCAAAGCCAAGGATGCTGCTGCTATGTTAGTCAGTTTCACAATCATTTCAGTAAAGGCTTTACAAAAAATTGATAGTAATGATTCACAAAATGAAACTCTTTCACATTATCCCTTGGTTTCAGTAGTTTCTTAGTTTTACCCTCTCTCTACCTGGACAAACTTCCTAGTGACCAGAGGTTGTAGACATGACGTCTGTTGTCCCAACATAATTTGTCTCTTATTTCTTATTATTTTGCATTTTCTTGCATATGAAATAAGCCAACTCCTTGGGAGCTCAGTCTACTACTTCTAAATTTCATTGATTACTTTTGCCACTAGTAACCGATCACAGTACAGCTATAGTTCCATAACCTGGATGACCAGATAGCCACCCAGAATTAAAGGTTTATCAATCCCTGCCTTCTTATCCTTTCTCTATCCAAATCACGTACTTCAGTGAGTCAGGGTTGATCTAGTGAATCCTGGTCCAGAGGCCAACTGCAAAAGTTATGCAACTGTGAAGTTGGGAGAATAGATCATAAGGCCCCCTCACTTCTGATACCAGTTGCAAGTTTGAAGATCAGCAGAGCACCCTCAGTTTCAGTCATTCACTAGAAAGACTAACGTAACTCACTTAAATCTATTATACTCACAGGCAAATAAAAATCAGCCATGGGAAGAGACACATAGGACAGAATCCAGGAAAGTTACAAAATGTGAAGCTTCTCATGCAGAAGCTTCTTATCCCCATGGAGTAAGGATAGCATTGCTTTCCTGGTATAGGTGCATAATAATACACACAGAATACCAGCAACCAGAGATGTCCATCCAATTCTTGGTGTCTAAAGTCTTTATTGGGACTCATCACGTCGGCATGCTTGGCCTCCCATTGGCTGATGTCAGTTTCCAGCCCCCCAGGAGGTCAACTAACACACTGTGAGGTAAAGCTCTCACCCTAAATCACATTGTTGGTAGGGCTCAAAGCCCCCACCATAAATCACGATGTTACTGTCTGGCTCACCCAAGGCCCCAAGGCAAACAAAGCCACTCCTACCAGGCAGGACATTCCAAGGGCTTGCAGGCCACCTCCTAGAATCAAAGGAAAAAAAGACAAGGTTAAATTCTTTACTACATAGCAGTTCTCAAGTATTATTAAAAAACAGCCAGAAAAACTGCAGAACACAATTTAACAGTATTTTCCTCTTTTTTTCACACAAGCTTATGGCCAAGTGAAGGGTCCAAACTATGGCCTGGGTACAACATGTGGCTCATTCTGGGAACCTGACTTTGATAAGAAGACGAAGAGCTTTGTGAATTGAAGTAAATCACATGAGAATCACTGACCTGGCCTAGAAAAGTTTGGATTTCTGTGAAAGAGTATTCCACCACTCCTAAAACAATCTGCATTCGGCTGCAGTTTCCCACTTTTCACATAGGAGAGCAAGCTTTCTCTTGTTTGAACAACCATCAAGAACTGGAATATTATCTCATTTCAGGTAAAAATGGTATTCATGTGTGCTTATCACAAATTCAGTATTCAGGATTCAGTATTTGCACAGTAGAAAAGTAAGCATAAGTTTTAGATGAAAGACATAAATTTTACTATTTACTTTTAACTTCAAAAATATTACTTTCTATGCACATATGGACCTATAAAAGAGATCAAGAAACTAATACATGTGTGTAATAAATTTATAACTTCTAGGCCTTTATTTTTAATGTTACTCAATGAGAAACTTTCTTTTCAAAGTCTTAATAAAATAATGTTTTACACTATATTTTTATTTATATTTCTTTGGCTTGTGATTGTTTTGCTATTCAATACTGGCAAAACTTTTTATATAGTAAATAACATTAATTAAAATGAATCTATAACTCTTATTTAAATAAATCTATCAAGATGACCTTTCAAAAATTCAGCTCCTCTTGGTTTAAGTCAGTTATTTAAGGGAAATGTCTTATGTTTGCGTTAAGAATTTTTTAAATTTTTGAAAAGGAAATAAAGAGATTAATTTCAAGAACCGTTAACCAATCTTTAGTTACCTGATTCTATTCAAGACAAATAGGCTAAAAAAGTCTGTTCACTTTAAATAGGAGAAATAACTACTCTTGCATATATCATATGCCATGTTCCATACCTTATCAACATGTCTTACACTATGAATAAAACTTTGAAGTCTACTTGGATACGATTTTTGGAAAATCAGGTAGGAATTTATTAGAGGAAAAAAGTGAAGTCTCATCACCTACATTACTGACTTGCAGTAGAGGAGATATCCTTTGTAGGGCGGAGGGTAGGCGGCCCACACAAAAAGAGTAGGCTGATAGATTGGCTGCAGTAAATAGATCCACTGAAAAATATCAGTCCCTATAAAAAACTACACTGACAAATAATGGTGGGTTATTACATCCGTTGCTTACTGTCATAACAATGATCCATAGCTTTAGATATAATTGTGTTTACGCAGGGATTCCTGGAGACCTGAAAATTAACTCAAGCATTCCTTCAAAGTAGAAGATTGAGAATGGATTAGCACGTACTGCCACTGTGTCAGTATGACTTGGGTTTCTGTGCTTTCACATCTGCTCACGTTCTGATCCCCAAGGACTGTGATAAGCAAAGGTCTACTGACCACTGATCCCAGGCTACTCAAAAGGGAGGATCCATTATGACATCATTTTGCACAAGTAGAGCACTAGTGCATAGCTGGGTATCAGCTTCACTGCAGGACTGAAACATGACTGCTAGCTCCCTGTATTCTTATGAGCGCCTTCCATCAAAAAGCTCAGAATTGCTCTTAAATGAGGTAAATATACTATGTGCTGATTCAAAAATATCTGAGACATATTAACAGGAAGAACAACTTATCAAATGGAATATAGTGTGTAAATGCATTTATGTAAACACATTAAGCTATATAGGTACTGTCATTCATCACTTAGCCACCAGGAAAATTTTGAGAAACCTGTTGTTAGGGAATTTCTTTGTACAAACATCAGAGTGTATTTATACTAACCTAGATACATAGGCTACTACACTCCTAGACTATATGGTATAGTCTATTTGTCCTAGGCTACAAACTATACAGCATGTTACTTTACTGATTACTATAGGCAACTGTAACACAAATCACTAGACAATGGGAATTTTTCAGCTTCATTGTATATGTGGCCCATCATTGACAGAAATGTTGCTGTATGTGGGCTGACTGTAATTGAGTTTCTAGTGATTATGTATTCCAAGACATAGAGGTGAAGTTAAAGATTTTAATACTGTAATATTAATTATAATAAGAAACATTTATTTTGGTCTTCTTCCCTGGTCACAGGTTGAACAGAAGTCATGAAACCTTTGCAATTTCCCAATTGATAAAAGTGCTAGGAGCGTATTTTGTTCTAATGAGGTGACTCTTGCTGGGTTCCTTAATGAGGGCTGGCCACTAAGAAGATCAAGGCATGATTAGAAGCTTGGAACCTTTAATCTCATCCCCCATCATCAGGTAGGGCAGAGGAACTAGAGATTGATCATTCTTATGTGATAAAGCCACCAAAAAAATCTCCAAAAGGCAGGATTCAGAGAGGATCCAGGTTGGTGAAAACATCCTATGAGCAAGGAGGGGGTGCACTCCAACTCCGTGGGGACAGAAATTCTGTATTCAGGACACTTCCAGACCTCCCTTTATATATCTCTTCATCTGGCTGTTTATCTCTGTCATTTATAATATCCTTAATAATAAACTGGTAGACGTCTTTCCCTGAGTTCTGTGAGCCATCATAGCCAATTATCAAAAACTTGATAAGAAGGGAGTCATGGGAACCCTCCATTTGTAGCCAAGGCTGATGGATATGTGGGTAACCTGGGGATTTGCTGCTTGCAATTGGCATCTGGAGTGGGGACAGTTTTGTGGGACTGAGCCCTTAACCTGTGACATCTGCACAAATATGACAATTGGCGTCACGATTGAATTATAGGATGCCAAGCTGGTGTCCAGAGAGTAGGAAAATTGGTTGGTATCAGGAAAACCCCCACACATTTGGTCACAGAAGTGCTGAAAGTGTTGAATGTTATAGAGAAAACCTTTGCTTTCCTCTTTAAGGTAAACTGGTGAGAGAACAGAAGGAAAAAAATTGCTTCTTTAAAAGTGATAGAAAGGAAAGGAATTTAAAAAACCCTGCAAAATATAGCAAATGGGATGACAGCTGCTGTATACAAAATGACAAAATTAACAAAGTAACATACCCATTATGTGTACAGAAATTTGCAGTTATCAAAACTTTCATATATAATGCATGTTTGTGTGTGTATGTACATATATATAATGTAGATTACATAAATTTGTTTGCAAGTTCTCTTCCTGAAGCTAGAACCAACTGATTCTTTCCTGGGGCAAGAACACTGAGTTATAGCTTCAAGACCTGAGTCATATTACTATTTGTTCTGAATTTAAAAGTTAAAAAGTCAAACAAATTTGCAAGACTAGGTTCTAATGACAGTTACTTTGTCAAGGATGCAAACCACTTTTCCTTTCAAAAGCATTTGTGGACTTAAAGCTGTGAAAACCAGATAAAGGTAGGCATACTTTGGAAAGAAACTGCTTGGTATAGAGGGATTGATTGTTTCTACACACCTAAGCCTGACTCCAAAACTGGCGATGGAAGCCTATATCTTGCTAACAGGACTTAGACATGCAGTACTTGAGAAAGAACAGGTATATCCTCTACCAAGGTGTTTGGAATGGAGACCAAAAAAATGATAGGAACAAAAAGGTGTTCAACCCAACCCAGGCTGAGACTGGGGAGGCATACCTGAAGGTAGGGCCGGGCAAGAGATTTCGTAGTTAACTTGGTTTTCCACCCATAGCTGCATTTAGACACTCTATTAACTTCAATATGCATGCTGAGTCAAGATGAAAAATTACTTGCCTTTTAGTTCACAATAGTTTATCCATTTCATAACTGAATTCAAAAAATATATAACTTAGAAGTTGAGAGTATGGGGCTTGAAGACAAATCTCAGCATCAATGAGTAATAATTATAATAGGCTGGGCAGGTTATTTAACTTCTCTCTGACTGCTCCCTTATGTGTCAAGGAGGAATAGCACCACTCACCTCAGTGGGTTTGCATATAGATGAAAAACATCAAATGTACCTTAATTTAGTACATAGAACGCTCTACAAAACATGGACCAATTAATAATAGAAACAACTGCTCTGGTACTCTCCTTAGGAGGAAAGAACTTCATTTTAACAGATAAGAAACATAAGCTGTGCTGCACAGCCCCTTTCTCCAGCTGAATCCTCACTGTGTCTCCCTAAGTCCCATCACACAATCCTCATAATCCCATAGGAGGCTCAAGGCAACTACCGAAGGCAGATGTTAAGCAGAGGTGTGATTGTTTTAAGAGACTAAGAAGCTCCAAATAATGAATGTCTGTCTATTCATGTGCAATGACTCTGAAGAAGTATAAAATAGGAACACTGCCCTTAAGATACTATCAGCTTGGTGGGGGTGAAGGAGGCACAGGGGAGACAATGAAAGTTGGGTTGGAGAGACAGCCATGTAAAACCAAGTAGATGTATTTATAAGGCTTCCTTGCAGAAGGGATGCCTTTGCTGAGTCTGAAGGAAGAGTAGGAACAATCGAGGGAATGAGAAGATGCAAGCATGAAATGCAAAAACATTGTTATATTTATAGCAGAAGGGAGAGGGGTCAGGGACAAATCAACAAAATCCCAGTGTGGGAAGGCAAGAAATGTACATTTTATCATCAAAGCCAAGGGAGAGCCATGGTTGAATCTCCACAATGACACAAACTTGATGAGCTTTTCACCTTGGAAAGATTCCTACAGCTTAGTTTGGAAGTAAAAGCAGAACAGAAGCTACAGCTACACTGCAGGCAAGACAGATGACCACTTCAACAAAAGGCAGTGACTGAGGAGTCAGGAGAAGATCAACTAAAAGACAGCAGATACCATATTAGCAGGGATTGGTGATAACTGGGTATGGAAGAAATGGGAAGGATCTTGGCTGACTGTGGTTTCTGCATTAGGCAACTGAATGGACAGTGGGCCCATATGTTAACATAGAAAACACAAGGAAAGGACCAGAGTTCCTGGGAGCTGATGTGTACAGTCCATAGAGATTCAGAGAGGTCCCTGTGCACTGTGGTGGTAAGCAAAGATTTGAAAGAAGTCCTGCGTGATGGACAAAATGTGATTTGGTATCTTTCGGTATGAGCCTTTATCCTGGTTTAGGGGTTTGATGACTCAACAAAGTGAAGTCTGGAAAGAGGACAGGGAGACGTCCTGGGTATATCCTAGGGGAGGAGAAAGCGAAGGATAGCCTGACTTAGAGAGGAGAGAGAACAGCAGCTGCCCCAACACCCCAGGACCTGCCCAATCTTGAGCTCCTCCTGTTGCTGCAGTTCCCTCTACACACTAGACAAAGCAGCTTGGATTCACCACATAGATAAGAAGACTGTATGTTGAATATTTTATATAAATATATCTATAGAGATACAGAGATATGAATAGATATTCTTCTAAAAATACCATAGGCCTGAGACAGGTGTCCCATTCCTTGAGCAAGAGAATGCTATAGAACAGTACATATGCAAAGACTTTCCAAGAGGTAAGTAGGCGTATATATATTTTAAAAATCAATTTCTTCATTAGCATGAAAGATTCAGAAAAGCAAATTTATAAAATTTATAGAGACAAAATAGATAAAGGTTGCCTGGGTCTGGGGCTGGGAACAGAGATCAATTGTAAAGGGCATGAGAGGTCTTTACCGGAGCAATGAAAATGCTCTACAACTCGCTGAATGTGATGGTTGCACCCCTTGGTAAAGTTACGAAAATCATTGAATTGTAGACTTGAGTTTTATGATATGTGAAATGTACATCAATAAAATTCTCTCTTAAAAAATAAACAATTTTCAGATCTTCAACTTCCATGTGCGGTCTTTCCTAAATACAATTTGCCTGAGAAAGCTCCTGTGCTTGTTTATGTAAAATTCAGTTTGCTAGCTCCCCCTTTAGTCGGCCTGCTCAAAAAGAAAAGAGTCATATTCTTTTCCTATCTTTATTAAAAATGGAGCATTGGCATGAGTGAAGAAACCTCCAAGTTGCAAACAGTAATACCATCCTAAATATTGTTACTGAGATGCCTCCTTTAATGACTCATGCCTTATGGCTTGTTATCTTTCTCTCTTATACTTAATTTGCTGAAGAGTATAGCCTTGTATTAGAAATTAAACATCTTAACCTGCTTTGAGATGTTCTGAATTCAGATATATGGCAGAATGGAGCAGCGGATGTGTTGACAATTTTCCTTTAAGGACTTTAACTTTCCACATCTCAGCTCTTATCAAAGAACACAACTGGGAAGAATTTCATAAGAGATTAGCAATGATAGCATGGATATACAACATTCAGTGCTGCAACTCACTTTTCCAGGTATTTAAATGTGTGCAATCCTTTTTTGGCTCTTTTCAATAGTCACCCATAGGTTGTGTTATTAGCCAGGGGGGAAAAATCACCTTTGAACAGATGAAACTGAACCAGTTGGTGACAATGGTTTTAGTGACTGCCAAAGTTTTCAAGATATATTAGACAAAGCCATAAATCAAATTTCAAATGACTTCTTCAGTTTCAATATGAGTTAACCAGAAAGGTAGTTAGAGCTGATTTTATCCAGTCACACCATGAAATCCATAATCTGGCTCCATGATCACTAATCTCAGGTGGACCCAGGACCAGGTTATTTCCTCCTCTGCCATCTGCTCATGAGGGACACTGCCTTATTGTTTATTGCAGCACTGCTCACAATAGCAAAGACTTGGAACCAACCCAAATGCCCATCAATGATAGACTGGATAAAGAAAATATGGCACATATACACCATGGAATACTATGCAGCCATAAAAAAGGATGAGTTCATGTCCTTTGCCAGGGACATGGATAAAGCTGGAAACCATCATTCTCAGCAAACTGACACAAGAACAGAAAACCAAACGCCACGCTCTCACTCATAAGTGGGTGTTGAACAATGAGAACACATGGACACAGGGAGCATCACACATCGGGGCCTGTCAGTGGGTAGGGAGCTAGAAGAGAGATTGCAGGGGGTGGGAGGATTGGGAAGGGATAGCATTGGGAGAAATACCTAATGTAGACGAACAGGGTGATAGATACAGCAAACCACCATGGCACGTGTATACCTTTGTAACAAACCTTCATGTTCTGCACATGTACCCCAGAACTTAAAGTATAAAAAATAAAAGACCATGGTTATAAGCTGAGAAAGAGTCATCCATGCAACAGGGATAGGTGGCATGGGAATCTGGGCACCTGCTTATGTGATTTGCTTATATCTGACCCCTATTATATCACTTCCTTCAAGTGGTGGGTTACTGCTGTGTCCTCCTAACTTTATGACTGACAGCTCTAGTCATACCATCTTTTGAAATTCCATGGTCAGGCCGGGCGTGGTGGCTCATGGCTGTAATCCCAGCAATTTGGGAGGCCAAGATGGGTGGATCACCTGAGGTCAGGAGCCTGGCCAACATGGTGAAACCCCATCTCTACTAAAAACACAAAAATTAGCTGGGCATGGTGGCGTGTGCCTGAAATCCCAGCTACCTGGGAGTCTGAGGCAGGAGAATTGCTTGAACCCAGGAGGCAGATGTTGCAGTGAGCTGAGATTGCACCACTGTACTCCAGCCTGGGCAACAGAGTGAAACCCTGTCTCAAAAAGAAAAAAAAAAAAAAAAAAAAAAAAAAATTCCATGGTCTGATACTCAGTCTCTACCAGGGATCAGGTGCTACTTGCTACTTTTCAAATGTTTTATTGTTTCTGCTGCATTTAGCACTGCCTTGCACTAGAACCCTAGGGTTCTTCACTAAGACTCCCCAAGGATTCCTCAATAGAGCTTTATTGGCACAGATACTGGGACTCTATGAGATCCATTAGGTCCTGTGGCCCAACTGGCAGGGCTGGTTATACAACATCTCAACCTCCTGCAGACCTTTCTCTTACTCTGGGCCCCACCTAAAACTGACAGTCTTCATAATCACCCATTAAATAAGTTGCAGCATAATTTTCAAGAATAGTATGCAATGTCCCCCAAACCTGAAGATGATGACCAAATTTTCATTGTCTTTCACCTCTGAATGAAAGTCTCAATATGCCTGAGACCACTGGAATCCT